CTCTTCCAATACAGCTTGTGGCCCACCATGAGAAGGGTGTCTCCCCTTGATGTAAAAATGCATGTCAGTTACTGAGTGGCATTCCGCAGACCAAAGGTGTCTTACTAGTAACTGCTCAGAAGCGGCACTTACAGTTTCTAAATTGAGCCTGTTGATCGAGATTGACGAGGATTCCAGCGAGATGCTGTGCTAAGAATTCTGTCTGCCACACAGTCCTTGGCAAGTTCTCTGTGTATGTGCTCAGAGCTTCAGGGAAGGATGTTTTTTGGGCATCCTAAAGTGTCTCAAGATGGTTGTGGCTTTCAATTACTGCTATACTTGTATTAATTGGAAGTTGGTAAAATTACTGTTAGGTTTAAATTGGGTGGAAGTTTTGTTCTTACATAATGGTTGCATTGTTGACTTTGTAATTACTGCTTAGCTTCTTTTGAGTTTTTTGTTAATTGCCAAGGTTTTTTCCCCCCTGGGAAGGGGGACTGAGTGGGGAAGTTGTGTGAGGTTGTAGTTAAGCACGGAATCTAGTCTAGAGGACTCTGCCACTTGTTAGCTTTGTATCCTTCGGAGCGTTATTTAACCTTCATAATGCTATAAAGTAGAGGTGGTGGTAGTGCCCCACAGGCTTCAGGACAAATTAAAGTAATTCATGTAAATGCTTGGTATGGTACATGGCCCATAATTTGTGGTGGAAAGTGGTTGGACAAGACATGGGTGGTAGGTGGTTATTTTATATTTGACTGCTATTAAAAAAAATTGAGAACCTGTTGCTCTAAAAGTTGGCTTTAGATCAAATTTTTTTCGTGTTTTCCTTTAGTCCTTTAATTAATTTCAGTTGGTTGAATTAACATGCTAATGAGTCCAGTGTCACTGGATCCCTCAAACTACACCCCCATCCTTAGCCTTCTATGCCTTGGGGGGTAAGTGTGAAGGGAAGGAAGGAGAAGGATGATCGTGATAGTGGTGAAATTTCATGTTTATGGAGTGTTCAGTGGGACATGGAATTGTGATAAATGTTGTATATCTCTTACCTCATTTAATTTTCACAGCACCGCTAAGAGGTAGGAAATGTTAATATCCCCATTTTACAGGTGGCAAGATTGTGGTTTAGAGATGGTAAGTGATTTGAGAAAGCATGTTAACTGATTCAGTCTTCCTTGGAGCCGTAATTCACCAACTGTTTAGTGACTCATGTCCCTGTGAGTTGATCCAGGACAATTATGTTCAGTCCTTTCGAGACCAAGTCTCTTGAAAAGCTTCCTTGAAAGCTTATAAACCTGGGATAATTCTGCTAATCAGTTGTAAGAGAGAAGCCATGGCCAAAGAGACCTTTTATTTCAGGGAGCTGTCCTTAACTCTGTGCTTCAGTCTTAGACTAGTAAGTAACTATGAGATCTATAGAAGAAGGTTTCCCCTGAACTTAATACAACACTGTATGTTAATTATACTTTAATAATAATAATAATAATGATAATAAAGATTTTCCCAGAACAGACTGTTTCTAAAGGGTGAATTGCACGCCCTTATCTTGTGTCAGTATGAAAGGTATTTATGAACCATAGACTACTGGTTTTGCTTGATAGTTGTGTGCATTTGCTGCTGATTGGAAAAGTGAACAAATATTGTAACCTCCGTTTAGAGGCAAGATAGAATAGGAAGCCTCCCACTGGCTTTCTGTCCTTGGACAAACTAACCTCTCTGGGCCTCAGGTTTCACATCTGTGAAATGGGAATAATGCTAGTACATAAGCCATACGGTGGTTAAAAGGATTCAGGTTCCACATCTGTGAAATGGGAATAATGCTAGTACGTAAGCCATACGGTGGTTAAAAGGATTCAGTGATGTGTGTGGTCCTTGGTAAATTAAACAAAGCCATCCCCACTTAGTGCTATTACCATGCTGCCATCTGGCCTGTGAGATGGTGAGGCTGTTCTCCCCTCCCCCCACCCCCCGGGGGCCTTCCCTGTCAGGCCATGTAGTCACACAGTTCTGGCAGGCATGGTTTGTTAGCTTTATTTCAAAACTCATTCTCTTTGCCTCATTTACCAAAGTAGACAGAGATTAATGGCCTGGCCTCAAAGGATCGGGCAGCACATGTTTCTGGCACCTTTGGCTCATTGATCACGCCTCTCCAATTTGGGGAATGCTTGGGTGTTGTGGGCAAGGGCCTCCTGAGACCCCAGAAAGCTTGAAGGAATGTAATTTAGTGCTAATTCTCCTCCTAATTAAGGAGAGCTAAAAGCCTTGAATTTTGTTTTCCTTTCTGGATTTTGCCACTAATAAACAGGAGCTAGTTTTTCTTGGATGGAAAGTTTAAATGTAATGGACAGAATGAATTGATCAGGGGTGGCCAAAAAAAAACACTTGACAAAATAGAGTCTCTTCGCTTGCACTTCCCTTACCGAGCTTTTCAAGGTTAGCGAACACCATTCACCATGGATTGCTGGTCCTAGCTGTTAGGCGGCTACCCGCTTCACTCACAGATGACAACATCTTGGAGGATCACCTTGCTGTCCTCCGCCCCAGAGTCATCTCCCTCCCTTCTCTACTGTGCACTGATGGCTTGTTGCACTGGTCTTCCTCCCCCCTGAAGGCCATGTGCCAGGATCACAGTCTTTTGGCTCCTAATCCTTAGAACTCTTTTTTTTTTTTTAACATTTTTTTTTTTTTAATTTTATTTTTGAGAGACAGAGCGTGAGTGGGATAAGGGAAGAGAGAGAGGAGACATAGAATCCAAAGCAGGCTCCAGGCTCTGAGCTGTCAGCATAGATCCCGACACGGGGCTCGAACCCACAAACCATGAGATCATGACCTGAGCCAAAGTCAGACCCTTAACTCACTGAGCCACCCAGATGCCCCTAATCTTTAGAACTTTTAAGCATAAAAAGTGATGCCTTTTCATTTGCCACACAATCTGCCTCAAGTACAGAAACGCTTTTCTTTAATTTTTATCCTCCTGACTTCTGAACAGTGTCTGTGCCTCTTTAGTCTTCTTTAAGAAATCAATAATAATGATGGATTTATTTGTCTTATTTAGAGTTTGATCATTCAAAACCTTCTTGGTCGACTTGTTCAATTTACAGATAAGGCAGTAGAGGCCCAGACCTGGTGATAGCTTTACCCAAAGACAGAAGGCAACTGAGGGGCCAAGTTGAAAAGCTCTTGACCAGCCATACCCACCCATACTTGGCTAGCAGATGAAAATCACTTTTAGAGTTTCATGCCTCTCTTTTTCGAGGTGCTTGGTCAGTACTTCCAGGGCTTAAATAAGTGGTTCTCAGCCATGAGTAGCCATCAGAATCCCTTGAGATAGATAGATAGATAGATAGATAGATAGATAGATAGATACATACATACATACATACATACATACATACATACATACATATATGTGTACATAGTTAGGAAGACCAACTTTACCCTATGCTTTTTCATATATACAGAATCATAATCACCAAAGAAATATTTGAAAAACTTTGATTCTGTCCCCCTCCCCACCCCCCACACACACCAAAGCAGAGGATTTACCTTACTTAATAATGTCACCATATCAGGGATTGGCAAACTGCCCTACAGGCCAAACCCAGCATATTATCTGCTTTTTTTTTTATTGCCTGTGAACTACCATGTCATTTATAGATGAATATTTACAATTGATTTGATGGGAATACTAACTTTGACCCCTAATTTAGTCCAATGTTATCCTCCCTGTATAAAACCAATAAACAAATAAAACCTCATTCTTCTGATTTGTGGATCTGCATTTTGAAAAATTACATTCCTTGGAAAAGATACTCCACATGGCCAATCTCATTTGAGAACTACTTACTCTAGAGAGTTACTGAGCCAAGCATTTCTGAAAAGAGAGCCTCGAAACCCTAATGAGGATTTTTACCTGCAAGGAATATTGTATCTGTATTTTAAAAACATGCTATATTTAAAATTTTGTCAACCAAAAAATTTGTGGAAATTAGTTTTCTGTCTTATTGAACATGTACCTACATAATATTGATTTTTGTCTCTTGGCCTACAAAGCCTGTTATATTTACTTTCTGACTCTTCACAGAAGAAACTTGCAGATTCTTGCAATATGTCATTGTCTGTTTTCTATTGGAGTATTTTCCCTTTATCTGTATTGGAGCACTTCCCCTTTTATGATTTCTGTGAATCACTTAAGGGTTTTATATTATGAAAGTAGTATATTCTCCTTACAACATTCAAATTTCAAAAGTATATAAAGTAAAATGTGATTGGCCCCATTCCCTATTGTTAATACTTAGCAGTTTATAATGTATCTTTTTCCTGACTATGCCATTTACTAGCTATGAGACCTTAGTTAACCTCTCTGTTTCAAATTCTCCATCTGTACTACAGTGATAACACTTCCTACCTAACAGAATTGTTGTGTAGATAATTTGAGATAATTCGTATGTATTTCTCAGCACCTTGCTTGGTTCACAGTAAATGCTTAATGATTGTAACTATTTAAAAGTTTTCTTCTTTTTAATTTGTATACACACATACATTTTTTTTTTTTAAAGAATAAGATCTTTGGGGGCGCTTGGGTCACTCAATTGGTTGAGCGTCCAACTTTGACTCCGGTCATAATCTCATTGTCTATGGGTTCAAGCCTCATGTCTGGCTCTGTGCTGACAGCTCAGAGCCTGGAGCCTGCTTCAGATTCTGCAGCTCTTTCTCTCTCTGCTCCTCCCCCCTCGCACTCTGTCTTTCTCCAAAGTAAATGTTAAAAAAATTTTTTTAGAGAATATGATCTTTTATTTTTTTTACAGTAAAGTTCCACAGGTGATTCTGATGTACACACAGTTGAGAACAGCTGAAGTGAATACTAGGCAGTAGATGATTTTAGAGGGGATTCATATTTGGGGCCCACAAATTGCCTTCCATCTTACAGCACAAATTACGGAAAGGGGCAGGATATAATTTTCTTCGTTGAACCTGGGATGGTATAAAGTACACACAAGTAAATGTTTATTTCTATTTTCCAGGTCTACAATTCGAACAAAGACAGTCAGAGCGAAGGGAGTAAGTATGTCCCTTGGATAATTTCCTACAGCTGGGGTTGGGATGGAGCTTTAAAAGTTGCTGCTCTGGGGAAGAGCCACCAGGGGGTGCTGTGGGCATGTTGGGTCTGCCCCTTTCCCCTGGCGCTGTGTGAGGTGCTTCCACACTGACTTACTAAGTCAATGACTCCAGGGCATTCAGTGAGCTTGACTGGCAAGGCTGTAATGACACCTTGCATTATATAACCCTTCACACTTTACAAAGCATTTTCATGTATATTATCTCAGTTAATCCTAGTTCTTGATAATGTAGCTCCAATCACCATTTAAAAGCCACTTAATTGAATAATACACAGCTCCCCAAGAACCCTGTCCTATGGGAAAGCCAGAATAGCCTCCTAGCTGGTCTTGTTCAAAGGACTGGAGAGGCAGCAACTGTCTTGGTGATGGCTTAGTAACTCTGTGTTCTTCGTTACATTTTTGAAGAGGAAAGAGTAGAAATGGTAAACTCTGTAATAACACTCTTCTTTGATGGGAGTGACCCTGGGCAGTCTCGGTAGAATATACAACACATTTCCCCTACTGCTGGTTCCGAGCACTCTGGTTAATCATAATTTCCAAGGGCACCTGTAACCTTGCAAAGGCGATGGGATTAAAATGAAAAGCTATTGCGAGAGTGTTTGGACTGATGATATCCTTGGTGGATAGAAGTACGAACCAGTTCCTTCCAGGCTGCTTATACGAGTGCAGAGGAAGTCCTGTCCCCTTGCCTCGAATTTGCTTTATAAAATCCACTTGAAGACAAATTCAAATATAGTGCAAACATGAATTCCAGTGATATCAAAAAAATCAGTGAAACAGGGCCTCTCCATGTGGACAAAAGGATGAGGTATTTCTGTGTGTGAAATCCCTTAAAGGACAGAGATTTTCCTTTCGTTCTTTCCAAAATACAGATTTTGACCAGCAGTTTTATATAAAATACTAAGTAATTTGTATTGTTTGCTATTGGTACATTAAGAGGCCTTTCAGGGAGGGAAAAAGGTTTTTCTTTTTTCTTCTTCCCTCAAGAATTGAATAAAAGAAAATATTTTCAAGGAAATAAGTGCTTCCCCCCCTCCCCACCCCAGTCATCAGGTGGGATTGTTTTAGTGTATTTGAAATCAAGCCTGGCTAACTTTTCTAAAGTAACAATGGCAGGGGTGCCTGGGTGGCTCAGTCAGTTGAGCAGCCAACTCTTGATTTTAGCTCAGGTCATGATCCCAGAGTCCTGAGATCCAGCCCCACATCGGGCTCCGCGCTGAGCATGGAGCCTACTTAAGGTTTCCTCTCCTTCTGTCTCTGCCCCTCTCCTGCTCATGCGTGCATTCTCTGTCTCTCAAAATAAATGAATAAACATTTAAAAAAATAACATTAGCAAAAACCACAGACATAAAAATGAAAGAATATGGAAGGCCGTAGAGTAACTCACAGTAAAGGAGGAAGAACTAAAGAACCAGGTTTGAAAACATACCAGCTCTGGAGCCCCAGGAACCAGTAAAAAAGGGTCTTCTGAATAATAATTGCAGGTTGATGAAGGTCTAGACTGCTTTTAGTAGTCACCTCACTCTTCTGAAGATTCACATTCCCAGGAAGGATAACAACAGGTTGGTCTAGGTTGGGCAGATGAGGAGAAAACAACACACTGTCACTGACAGTTTTAAGAGTATTGCATAAGATGGGAGCAGGGTAGTTTGCTGGACGGAAATCAGGGAATCCACCATAACAGGAGAAGATAGATACCCAAGCAGACTAAAATAAAATAACATGCCTGTACGATGCCCCAAGCTGGGACACACTATTCTATAATAAAGGACCCAAGAACTGTGGGAGATGAGATGCATCTGAATGGAGACTACCACCCAGAAGGTTGCTTGTGACTTGTGATAAACCTCCTCTCTGCTTGAGATAAGGGCCTATAGATTTGAAAGATGACCCTGCTTCTTTTAGGGGGCATGCCATCTCATCATACCATTCTGTAAGACCTTTGGGGAATATGCATTGGAAGCCAGTAGCCTTTGACCCAGTGATTTGTCTTAAGAAAATAGACTGGGGGGCAAAAATGTTTGTGCAAAAAAGTTTACTGGAGCATTGGTAATAATAATAAAGACGGGGAGATAATCAGATGTCTACTAGGAAGTTGATTAAAAATATCAAGGTACTATGTAGTCTTTAAAAACAAGAGCAATCTAAGTATATTTGTGGAAATGGCTCCCACGGTTTATTGTTAATTGAGGTTTAAAAAAATCGGGTTACAGAGCAATGTTCTTAGTAAAGTAAATTGTTTGACTCATCTAGATGTATTGATAGAAAAAGTCTGGAAAGACATTTATCATGAAATTGTTTATTCGGAGAGAGGGTAGATTATTGGGAGGGACTGACCTGTTTTTTTTTTTGTTTTTTTTTTTTTTTTTCCTCCATGCTTTGCGTTGTCTGCAGTGAGCATATATTTAAAATCATGGCTGGTAATAGATAGCATTTATCCACCACTTAACTATGTTTAAGGATGTTTTATGCATATGAACTTAGTTAATACTTGAAACACTGTGTGAGATAGGTACCTTTGACCTACTTTGTATATTAGGAAATTGAGGCTAATAAAGTCAGGGGGCCCCATTTAATCTGAATTCTGTGTAACCCCAGAGGCTCTGCTGTTAACCACAAGGATATTCTGTCTCCTCAAGAAAAGAGCAATACAAGAAGTTCCATTTTGGAGAACACAGACCCTTGCAACAGTTTGCTCTTGGCATCCCATTATTCACAGAGTACAGAGAGCTGGCTGCCTGAAGTGTCTAATGATTTTTCAATTGCTTACCCTTTCATTTGGCAGGCTGGAGAGAAAAAAGATGGGGTAAAACATATTGGCCACTTTTCAGGAGTAGTTTGGATAGAAATGATTTTTTAAAGTATTATTGCAAAAGCTGTTCTGTTCACTGATGTCCAAGCTGGCACGACCAGAGTAGGGTTCTAGATTGATGCTTTCTCACCTCCTCTGGCCTTGGGACCCCTTTTTTACATCACATAATGCCTTAGCCTCCCCTCCTTTCTGATGTGGTTGTACTTTCCGTATCTGTGGATTGAAGTAATTTTCATTTCCACTCCATATCCACCCATAGGGTTCATCTGCCACAGGTGGCACTATTGTCCAGGGTCTGATTGTTCAGCAACTCCCTGTCTGTTTATACCACAGTCAAAAGTGTTCCAGAAGGTAGTCAGTCTGATAGGAATTTCAGAGTGTGACATTGCTCTTTTTGCCTTGAGTATCCAAATGTGAAATGGCTAACATTTTCCTTTCTAGAAAATGTTTTCATGGGAGTTTGAATGCCACCATTTTATCCCAGAGGCAGGATGTTTTGAAGGGCCAGGTAGCAAAAGGAAATTCCTCTGGGGACACTTCTGAATTTATTGCTTTCATCTTCAAGTTCCTCTCAGGGCATACAGTGCCTGTGGGGTGTTGGGGCCATAAATAATGCCTGTCTGCTGCTGGTACTTTCCAAATGGCCCAGTTGTCAGGGAGAGGATGGCAGCAGGTAAACAAACGCACATTTCTTCCCAGAGGCTTTTTCCTCTCTTCTTCTGTAATCTCCATTTGAATCTCAGGTGTAGAGGGTTGGAATTAATCCTTCTACCTGATTTGTGGCATGGGATCATCACAGGTTCCTTCCTTCCTTCCTTCCTTCCTTCCTTCCTTCCT